TTTTTTTTTTTTTTTATATATGTTACCGCATAACTTTGGACCGCGTCAACCGATTTCGATAATCGGAAAGGTAGTGTCTCAGAGGTGGTCCCATACTAATCTGGTTGAGATCCGATCAGTGGATCATGAGCAGGCATGGGCAGAGAGTTAGCAGGTGCTAAAAGAGCGTAAGCGTTGCGTGTACGTATACAAGCGAAAGCGCAGCGATAAGAACACGACAGCATGCAAAATGAATTAGGTACACTAACACATGCTCACTTTTAGCTCACGCTTGTTTGTGGTAGTGCCCACCTCTGATCATGAGATATATATATATATATATTTTTTTATATGGGAGTTGAAGTCGGTTTTTTTTTTGCTAAAAATTACTAGTTTTATAAAGCTATCGCATTTCTGGTTAGTATATTTCAGGACAAATGGATAAGGATTGAGCCAAGAGCTTGTGTGAGCAAATCCAATTTTTGGCAGCCAATGTCAGTTACGCGGTTTTGTACTTTAAACGACGATATGTATCTAGCAGTCTAAATCTTCTTGAGAAGCGCATCTACATATATTTTCTCTACAGAATACGATTAGCTTTTTGCAAAAGCCATGTGCAAAGATATATTTTCATTCTAAAGATATTTATAAAGTATACTGATGGTTTTTGCGACCTTTGCATATATACTTATAAACGATATTTGCTGTCTTGTAAGTTATCTCATGGATTTTTTTTTTTTACTTAACCCGCATCCATCGGAAATTTTTTTGTAACACAAAGTGCGTTGTGCATCAATTTGACACATTTGGAAAAAGACCCTAGTATTCAATGAAGTGTTGGTTTTTTTTCATTTTTTTATTAATGACCAACGTTTGTTTATTCATTTTCTGATAATAAGAATAAAAATGCTTGAAAGATCTACCTATACGCATTTGCCGCGAAAAAACCAATTCAAAACATTAACTATTAATATACCCATTTTAATATTTTAATATGTTTTCGAAATTTGCATCAATTTGATACAAACGATGGATGCGGGTTAAGGAAGAAGTGTTTATTACTGAATGTTCACCTGGAATACGTTGCATAATTTGCTGTCGGTATATCTCGTGCGCAATTTGTTGCTGCATTCGCAGGTCCACTAACTCATTCATTGTCATCATCTTGTAGCTATGCCTTCGACCAGTTAGTTAATGATGCTAATCAGGCAGGCGGTGCAATTTTGTGTTTGCCTTGGTAGGTGTTTCGTATATGTATGTATGTATGTATTTTGATTGATAGTCAAACAGACTTCCGTTAGCAATTGACGCCAATTCTTTGTCAAACTACGCCAGCTAACAATTAAATTTCACACATTCTAATCACTGTACTCATTTACGTATTGACAAACAGATATACTACATACATATGTATATGTATACATGCATGCATTTATTTATGTATGTAGATGTGTTTGCATGCCACTGATTTGATGTCACGCCGGCACATTTATTTACTTGTCTATCCGTTATGTTAGCGAGATTATCACATAGCGTTTTCATCAACTAATCGGGTGCTAAACTAACGAAATTGTCACATAAAACGCGAATTCACAAACAAATAGGTAGGTACATACATATGTACACTTAACTTATTCCATTCTAAAAAGGTGTCAGTAATGATCGCATATACATACATATCTATACTTAGATATAGGTATATGAATGTATGTATGTCAATAGGCATGCACTTTTTCCAGCCGATCGTGCAGCGTGTGTCGTTTGTATTAAACTTTACACCCACATATATGTAGGTATAGTATGTATGTATGTGCATACTATGTGCGTATCTATATAGGTATATGTATTTATCACGCGAACTAAATGTTCTTAATCTCAAAACCAGCAGTGAATCAAATCGTAACACATGCGAATTAGTTGTTCACCGATCGACAGCCGTGCCCGCACTTTGCAAAGTTTTTGTTCAAACTGAATGCCGCCGGTCAAGTTTGCGCATCAATACATTCCTCAATAAGCTTCCAAGCGAAGCGATCACTGAGGGTCGCGGAGTGCTGCACGGGCAGTTAGTTAGTTCCATTCAACGCGATTGGGATCGAAGATGTGCAAGTGAGCGTAAAAATGCCTTAACACGCCGTGAGTGATGTGAAGCATTTAGTTAAACAATTAAAAACCAAAAAAAAACTCTGAGAGGAAACGCTTGTCACGAATATTTGTGGCTTAGCATGAAAACGCCGCTTCTTTCTAAGCCCGCTTTCTCAGCTTTGCGCACTCGTTGACTCTGCGATCACTCTGACACAACAGCAGGCGTTCTGCTTTAGGCGAATTGAGAGCGACAAAGAGCACGTGTAGCTGCTGAGTGAGAAGTGCTGCGGAATGATTTGATTGGCTGCTGCGGTTCCAAGTGGAATGGCTGAGAGTGTTTGTGTACAACGCGTTTGGCTTTCTGATTGTTTGGTTGGCTTGTTTGTGCCTCCATTTTGAAAATCACACCCTCGGCGTTGGTGATGATATTGACGCTTGCAGTTGTTGATTTCCAACACCGTTGCCATCGTCATTTCCTTTTCCGTCTCGTCTGGAGCTCTTTCACATCGCCTTGTCATCGCGGTCTGACTCCTCCCCTTCGAGCAGCTGTTGGCCCTTTACAGGTAGCGATCATTGTTGTAATGGCGAACCCTAACTGCGTTTAATTAGCAGACACATTATATTTATCGTAACTACTCCTAGCCGCAGCAAAACACAAAAGATGCACGTTCGTTTTGTTGATTATGCCTCTTCGCCTGTACATAGATATGTATGTACATATGGACATATGTATGTATGTATGTATGTACATACAAACTGTAAAGTGCGAACTCGCTAGGCATCCCACTAAATAGAAGCTGTTAGCGTGGCAATTATGCTTTGTGTTGTCTACTTTGGTTGTTGTTTTCGACATTTGCTGCAATGTTGAACACCTAGTCAATAGCTAGATACATTTTAATTACGCGTCATGAGATTTAACAGTAGTGTATTTATACATTTATGGATGCATGCATATCCAATGTTAGGTACAAATGCAATGGATATAAATTTGGGAAAATCAACTGAAAAAATTTCTGTGTTGTTCAACGTTCCGCTATGTTTTTTGGTTTGAGTTCGACAGCCAGCTTCTTTGATGGAATGTCATAAGCAGAGGTGGGCACAACGAAAATTTACCACAAAGGGCAACCATCTAACAATTAAGAGAAAAATGTAATTTTTACAAATTTAGTGTTCACTGGCGAATATCAATGACGATATTTGAGACAAATCGTTGATAACCAACTATATTTGCTTTCCGTTTGCTGTGGCTTTGGCACAGAAGTGTGCTTGAAAGTGGCTATTGCCATATCTAACGTGTCCTTTTCCAGAAGGTTGGAGATGGTCCTACCTTTCCGTGTCAGTTCGTCAGCTGTGCAATTGCCATCAATATTACGGCGCAACCCGGCAACCATTTGAGTAGACTTCTACGTACGTTCAAAAAGCTACGGCATTCATTGGGAGACTTCACTTTGTCTATGTATGAGTCGAAAGCTTTCAGGACTGCCTTCGAGCGTTGAATTTTTTAGATATTTTCGGCCACTTGTTGGTCATAACTGCACAAATTTTGTTTTTAAAGTGCTCCAAAATTTTAGGTTTATTCGCATAAATACGGCCTCATAAAAAAGTCCCATGGTGCCAAGTCGGATGCTCTCATTGGCCAAATGGCATTTCCTCTATGGGAAATTATGAGCCTAATAAACCGTATCCATGACACTGTGAATGATCAGATGTCTTCAATTGAGGGGGGCGGAGGGGGAGGGGCATGGCCCCCTAAACCCCTCCCATTCGAAAGCGGACAGTCCGCACTTTGCCTGAATGCATTCATGCAGATGTCTACTGTCTACCCATGGATGCCGAGTTTAAGAGCACCCGCAGAGTGGACGCTGAAAGCCGCGTCAAGCGTAATTATGGACAATACGAGAAAGAAGTTTTCAACCGTTTTTCAGCTCTGACTAGGGCTGCCAATTTAGCTCTTTTCCCGTCAAATCAGGCTTTTTCGAAGTCCATTTAGCGGCAGGAAATGAGAAATTGCGGGAGTTTTAGTTTTTCCGTTATATGTTTTTGTAATTTTATAGCCTTATAACAACAAATGGTAGAAGTGATACCTAGCTATTTCGGAAATCACCACATTTCCTCATCAGACCTTTTTCAGTAGGATTCGAACCGATGATCCCACTGACTCAGCCAGTTGCCTACTGTTGCAAAGCTATGCAATGGTGTACACTTATAGGTATATAGTTAGTATATTAACTTGTGTGATCATGAAAAAATTAACGGTACTCTTCAATTTTTATATGATAATTGAAGTCGGTTTGGTATTTTGCTTAAAAACTACTTTTTCATTTCTGACGAACTTCGATCCCAGCTGTATTATTCAATTATTAATTGAAATTCAAATAGTGTTGCAAATGAATTGATACAAATTCAGTTAGTTTTCAGATTTTGTTTTGTGAAATCGAGCTCTTTTCTGGCGGGTTTTTAGAAAAAAAATGATTTTTTTTTACTTGAAAATTGTTGGCAGCACTGGCTCTGCTACATATGTATGTATGTATATTGGTGGTTGTCAGAGCCATGGTCCTGGGTAGAACAGCTCTTTCGAAAGCACCAAAACCTTCCAATCTTTGTTCGTTATCGTCCACGTTTGTGCGAAAAGAGATGATAAATGTGTATAGTTTGTTACTTATGCGCCTTTTTACAAAAAACCATGAGAAAACTGCGTATTTGTTTGTTTCACTTGAATACACAAGCGCATGGCCGTAGCCAGGTAGGGGCAGGGGGTGCTCGAGCCCCCCCTAACCTTCAAATTTTCCTTATATATATATAAAATAGTACCCTGAAATGCCAGCTTAATAGGGTCGAGCCCCGCCCCCCCTAAATTTCATTCTGGCTACGCCGATGCACAAGCGGGGTATTTGTATTGTATTTTGATTTGTGAGGACTTCTGTTCATTTCCGGTTTTAATGAAAAAGTATGTATGTAGATCCATATGAAAGTTTCTCTTCATAGATAACGCTGGGCAACGAAATTTAGCGGAAGAGTCAATAACAGCTGATTTCTATGGAGTTTGTACGCAGAATCAGAATCTGATCTTAGAAAGACGAGATTGGCTTTAGTTTTTGAGCTATTTGTTTCTAAAGGTGTCAAAAAACCAATTATTAACATATTTTGAACCGTTATAATATACAGAACAGTAGGTACATCATTGAATATTTTCAATAATGTGTAAAGAAAGCTTAAGCCCTGTCATTTTATCCCGAAAGATTTAGTATGGATGGTAGTATTTACTTTTTTTAAAAGTTTTTATAATGCGACAAGCATATTTCTACTTTAAAATTTTTTAAATACCTGAGTTCATAACTTCAAACTTTTACCTTTTGTGCTGAAAGAGCAATGTTTAGCTTTTTACATCTTATTCAAAAGAGTTAAAGTTAAAAATCTCAAAAACTGGCGCTAATCTAATTTTTCTAATTTCAGATTCTGATTCTACGGAAAAAATCCTTTAAAAATCAGCATTCGCTTTCCGTGCCGCAAATATTTTTTTTTTAATTTTGTTAGCCTGTGTAATCAACCTCTTACGATAAATGATCTGAATAATATCTCGTTGCAATGGAAAACAAAAACGTATATTAATATTCTGGCGTTTACACTTTTGTTTAGTGTTTGGCCGAGTTTCTCCTCCACTTTGTGCGTCTTAATGTTGTGTTACACACACAAAGGAGGGATCCTAAAAACGTATAATTTTTTTAATGTTTATAAAATGTAAACTTTTTTCCGGGAATGGTTTCCACCTTCAGATAAGTTTTAAAGATTATTGAATGCATTTTGTAATTCTTTAAGATACATTTTTTTGTAGTTTTTAGGTCACCAAATACCGAGCCCTTGTAATTACATATATACATGTACTTACATGCACTTGCACATATAGGATAACGTTATGCTATTAATATATATATATATTATATAATGTGATTCATACAATTAAGTGTACAAATATATGTATATGTATGTATGTATCGTATGTAGTTGAAATTCTATCTGTTGCACTGGCTCGCCGATTAACCAACCGGACGGAAGTATTTATGCCTACCCCTAAGATAGTTTAAATCTCGGGCAATTAGCAATGCTGACAAATGGAAATGGAATGATTACTTGGCGCGCCGTGTAGACGGTAGGTGGTATACCTACGTTTGTTCGGATTGTCCCGGAAACTATGCCGGAAAATTAGCAACAAAGTATGTATGTATGTATGTGCGCATGTATACCCAATTTGTAGACACCCCGTGTAATAAGTGCGTGGGCAGGCTAGTACATTTCCGCCTCCGACAAGACGTCGACATTTGTGTGCATGTTCGTACGTACATACATATGTACATATGTACATACGTACATATGCGTGTATTTGCATAATTTGGGTTTTAAATAGTGTGGAGGGAAAAAATATGTATGTATACAAATTTGCCATCATTTAGTTTAAGATAATAATGGTGAAAAATATTTCAAGATCTCAAATATTTAAGAT